GCAATAGCATCCAAGATAAAAGAGTGTAAGCACCGTGACACTAAAAGATAATAAGCAGAAAATAAATCCTTTTAAAACAATAACAGAAACTGAAAAATTCAGGAGAAATCTATAGGATCTTAATTTGAAATCTTAAAAGCTTAGTAGAGGGGCAAAGAAATTGGAAAACAGGGCAGAGACACAGTTACCATCTGAAGACTGGTTCGCCAGGTTCAGTAGTTGAATTCAATGGAGTGCAGAGTTGAAAAGGTGAGAAAGGGAAGGGATAGGGTAAAAGTACACTATATAGATGTACAAAATGCCCGCATGAAACCAGTGTAATGTGCAATGAGTCTATGCCAGCAAAAAAGCACTAAATGAGACCCCTGGACACAGAAGAAAGGGGGCTAAAAAGAACTTGGAGGGAAAAGTGTTAAGACTGGGAGATGAAGTCTAAACAATGGGCAAGTGTAACCGAACAGAGAATCCACCTGCAACAAGTTCATACATGGTACTGCTGCTCCCCTGCTGCTGCTGCTGCTGCTGCTGCTGCTGATGATGATGATGATAATAGTGCTGGTGTTGTTGTTGTTGGTGGTGGTGGTGGTGATGGTGGAGGTTGTAATGATGGTGGTAGTGGTGATGGCAATAGTGATGGTGATGTTGATTGTGGTGGTGATAATGAAGGTGATGGTGGTGATGGAGGTGGTAGTAGAGGTGGTAGTGGTGATGATGGTAGTGGTGGTGATGGTGGAGGTGGAGGTGATGGTGGTGGTGGTGGTGATGGTAGTTGTGATGATGGTGGTGGTGGTGGTGATGGTGGTGATGCTGGTGGTGATGATGATGATGATTAATTCAATGAAGAATAAGTCCTGTGAGGAAAACAACGAGCTGCACTTTCACCTAGTGACTTTCAACATTTTAGTCAGCACAAGATGATGGCCTGCAGACAGAAAACCTCTACTGAAAATCAGAAGGGCATCATTAGAACAAGGTATGGGAGATGTTTACGTGCAGATAGGACATCTGTAGAAGATATGCTTGCCCTGAGGATACTCAGAGACAACAGAGAAAGGGGGGTGTGGAGGGTCTGAGTAGAAGGGAAGTGAAGGAGAAACAAGAGCTTGGGCAGGGCTTTGGGAAGGAAACTACACATGGAGTTCAGGGGCAGGGATGAAGAGTCTAAGAGTCCGGCTGCTAGATATCTAGATCACTAAGAAGCTCCTGGGACAGTGGAGAGATGGCTCCGTCAGGCGCTTGCCATGGAGCATGTGAGCCTGAGTCCAGCTCCCAGCACTCACCTGAAAAGCTTGGCATAATGGTTCAAGCCTGTAACCCTAGTGCTTGGGAGACAGAGATCGGAGGGTCCCGGAGGTCCACTTTCTGGCCAGCCTAGCTGAATCGGGGAGCTCCAGGATCAGGGAGAGACCTTGTCACAAACAATATGGTGGAAAGCTGGCAAGGATGCTGTCTGAGGCTGACCTCTGTCCTCCACAGTCACAGGAGCATTCAAGGACACATATACACACAATGCACAAACACTCTTGGTTTAATGTTTACGAGGAGGCGGGGCTCACAAGATCCCTTCCCCCAGGGATCTATAGCTGGTTATTGGCTTCTGCAGGGGGAGACATATTTTTTTTTTTTGTAATGTAGCCACTAATAAGTTGTTCATGCTCTTAATTAAACCTGGTTAAATTCATTGGTCACATACATACACAAAAAAAGACACAAAAATCTTTAGAAGGAGGACTAATTGGAAGATGTATGGGAGTAGAGGTGGAAAAACAGGATTAAAAATTAGTTCAAAATTATTTAAAGTTATTGGTACATTTGAGGAAGGCAATTTAGTGGGACCCAAGTATACAGGGCAGCCTACACAGGACAGTGTTTTTCAACTTACTGTGTTTTCTGTGTCATCTGAATATTGGAATCTTGAATAGCAGCCTTGGAATAACAGGCTAGGAACATGTCATCCAAATCTGAAACAGTTTAACTCCGTCATTGAAAGGGAAATTCTAGTCGGCTGACATCACCCTGCCCACTGACTTGACCTTGCCATTCTTCTTCCCACCTCTTCCTCTGATGTGTAGGGCCCATGCCCCACGTTGTGTGACACAACCCATTGGGGCTCCATTCAGCAGGCCTGGGAGACACAGGTATTTTGAAATGTGACCTACATATTGAGTTATGACTGGCCTCATTCATGACAGCATGTGAAGTCACTTCACTGAAATGGCCATTTGCAAATTGAACCGTGTTGGGGGGGGTGCCTTTCTTGACTATTGTCATAGATCAGAATAGCAAACTAATTATTTATTTATTTATTTGTTTGTTTGTTCATTTGTTTTTGGTTTTTCAAAACAGAATTTCTCTCTATAACAGCCCTGGCTGTCTTAGAACTTGCTTTGTAGATCAGTCTGACCATAAACTCACAGAGGTCCTCCTGCCTCTACCTCCCAAGTGCTGGGATTAAAGGCATACACCACCACACCCCATACCAGCTTTTAAAAAAAAATGTATAAATTTAGTCTTTCTCTTAAGTGCTGATATTAAAAGCATGCACTGCCACACCCATATGTATGTATGTATTTATTTATATATTTATTTCTTCTCTCTTAGATTACATCCCAACCACAGTTTCCCCTCCCTTCTCTCCTCTCATCCCAGTTCCTCCTCCTGAAAACCCTTCTCCCAATCTACTCCTCCTCCATTTCCCTTCAGAAAAGGGCAGACCTCCCAGGAATATCAACCAAACATGGCATATCACGTTGCAGTAAGACTAGGCACAACCCCTCATATTAAGGCTGGACAAGGCAACCCAGAAGGAGGAAAAGGGTCCCAAAAGCCAGCAAAAGAGTCAGAGACAACCTCCCCACCAATGTTAGGTGTCCCACAAGAACAGCAAGCTACACAACCATAACATATATTCAGAAGACCTGGGTCAGGCCCATACAGACTCTCTGGTTGTCGGTTCAGTCTCTGTGAGCCCCTATGAGCCCTGCTTAGTTGATTCTATGGTTTTTCTTATAATGTCCTTTACCTCTCTGGCTCCCACAATCCTTCCTCCCCCTCTCCCACTGGGAAAAATAATACCTTTCTTGACTCTATTGTCGGATCAGAATAGCAAACTAATTTTAAATGTTCTGATTATTCTCAGGATGACGGAGCTGAACTCAGACCAAGACCTTTATGACTAAAGCCTTGTGTCCCCCATCTCACTGCCAAGCTCCCTTGGGTATAGTTGCTGTTTAAGTACAATAAAAGCCAACAATGGTCCCTGTTGAAATTTGCAGTTGATGTTGGGCTTTATGAAGTTATTGGACCTAACTGTTGCCCAGTTTCCATATGGGATGAAATGGATGTTTATGAAGACCCTGGATTGCCTGTGTTTCTCCTTTGCAAGAATTTTTGGCTTTATTTTTTTTTTTTTTTTTTTTTTTT